GCTTGCATAAACATGCTGCAAAAGACTGCTACAAACGTCTAAGAAACCAGGAAAACTTAAATGGGACGAGTTCGTATTAGGTATCTTTACAAGAACTTGTCCCGAAACAAGACTACCTACTATTGACTTGGTAATAAATGGAAGAAAAGCTACAGCGCTTGTGAATACTGGTTGTTCGCAATCAATCATCACCAAGAAGTTACTGCCGCCTGACTATAAAGTGATTCGTGTAGTAAATGTTGCAACAATGGGTGGAATAATTCGATGCGAAGATGTTAGTGCTAAAATATGCCACCCAACAAACGGGTGCTTGGTGGATGTGGTGGTTCTGAGTGTGAATGAAGTAATAAACAAATACGACATGATTATGAGTATGGACTTAATAAAGACGTGTGATGGACTACAAATTGGCACTGGAAAACTGAAATTGTGTAATTCTTTGATTGAGTTGTCATCGAAACTTTGTGTTGCGACATGGCTCCAACCAAAGTCTGATGCAATGCATATCAATGTGGCCGAATTAGATGCATGTATTGAAGGTCTAAATATGGCATTGAAATGGAATCCAAGTGATGTCTCCATTAAAACTGATACTCATAGTGTATTTAGTTGGTTAAATTCTGAATTGACTCGTGACAAACCTGTAAAATGTGCTGGGCAATGCAAAATGTTAATTCGACAATGACTTCAAATATTTGAAAAATTGGTCGAGGATTATGTCATAAATGTAACTGTTACATGGGTACCAACAACTAAAAATATTGCAGATGAACTCACAAGAGTGTCAACAAAATGGATAAAAAACAAAGTTGCAACACAAGAATGTAATACCATTTATAAGTACGGTAAACAGCAGATTCGAAAAATTCATTCACTAACACACATGGGAGTTTCCAAGAGTATGGAGTTATGTATGCGCGCTGGTATCCACGTTACAAGAGACACAGTGAAACAGGTTGTCGCTGAATGCGATGAATGTAACTCGATTCACCCTAATGTGATGTTGTGGGATAAAGGAAATCTTGCTGTTACCAAAGTATGGGAAAGAGTAGCCTGCAATGTTACTCATGTTGATTCATCGCTATATCTCACTTGTATTGATTGCGGCCCAAGCAGATATACGTTATGGACACCATTAAGCGACGAAAGTGCAACTATGGTTGTTCAAGCATTAGAAACAATATGGTCAACACTTGAACCTTCTTCTGAAGTTCTTCTAGATAACTCTAAGTCATTTAGATCTCAGCTTATGCAAACTATGGCTGCGAAATGGGAAATAAAGCTCATCTATCGAGATGTTGAAAAACCATCGGGAAATGGAATAGTTGAAAGAGTTCATCGGACGGTAAAAAGAACAAATGCAAGAGTAAAATGTGGTATCCCCATGTCTGCATTTTTAATCAATAACGTTCCATCAAAACACGGCACACCTTTTGAAATACTTTGCCAACATCACAAACGAGTTCGAATTCCTGGAATTGATAAAATCGAATCAACACAAAAGTCGATGACATGAGTGTCGTGAATGGAAAGTTGGCGACAAAGTGTAAGTGAAACCCAAGCACATAACGCCGTGTACGCAACGATGGCTGAAAGGAAGTATAGTGGCATTGCATAATGGTTTAACAGCTGAAGTTGATGTCAACGGACATACGTTACCACAACATTTTTCTCATCTGAAACATCGTCGTGTCGACACAAAAGAAGAAGATACAACAGATGATTATGATTCAACACTATTTAAACTTCCCGAAACGAGCTCAAAACACATTGTCAATGATGATCCAAATCTTCAAATAATTCCTCCGGATAATGGTAAAAATGACAATACGAGCAGCGATCAAAACTATTCAACAGAAACAGAGTCACAGCCTGTTCAATTCACTCGCTATGGAAGGAGAGTACTTCCTAATCGGAAGTACAATGATTACGTATGAGCTCTTGTTGAGCTAAGGGGGATGTTGTGTGTCATTAATAATTAGCGTGCTAATTATTGACCTAAGTCACAAGTTGTGATTTTCTATTATTATAAGGTTTTTTATAAATTGTCGACAAGAGTCACAAGTTGTATTATATGCTATATAAAGCGAACAATTTTTTTTGTTAAAGTGAACTTTGTATATAAGTAAAATAAAACGTTAACAACAAAAAAATGGCTTTTAAATGTGTCGAACAGCAGTAAGTAATAATAAGTAAAGAAGGAGATAAGTAGTAATATTAGGTAAATAACATTTATATAAGATAAATAATGAAGATGTAAATTGTAATAAATGTAAATAATGGATAAATATAGGATAAATGCTATATTATTTAATAATAATGATAAATATTTAATTATAATAATAATAACAATGATAACTGCTAATAATAATAATCAAAAAGTCAATAATAATAATAAATCCTGGAAAATACTTAAATTTACAAAGCAAAAAATAATCAAAATTAATGTAAAAAACTCTTGATCTTTTTCTTTCATTAACTTGATTCTTTCTTTACTTTCTCTTAGTTTATTAATTTTGTAATGTATCTTGTTCTTTAATTATATTTATTTGAGTCTATGAAGTTCTTACACATCTCTAAACTTTAAGTACTTTGGTTTTCTAATTAATTTTCCAATATATTTTTTATTTACTTTTTAGTCTTTTTTTTTAGTCTTTTTCTTTTTCAATAAATATTTTTCCTCTTAATTGCTGTCATGTAAAGATATATTACTTTATTTGATAAACTTTTCCTTATTTACAATTCTATCTATAACTCTGCCATTTTTACCACGCGTACATGATGATATGCGTGATATGATATGATAACATTATCTTTAATATGAACACAACATGTGTTGGGAGTTGAGGATCCTTTGAAACCCCTTTTTTTTGTATTTGTTTGAACTTACTCTAACTAGTTTGATAAATGTTACCTAATCGTAACTTGTTACCTAATCTCGGGATTTCCAGGGAAATTAATCATTTTTGTCCCGGAATCCCAGGAATTAGATTTTTAAGGGAAATGAGAAGCTCTATTTTGAACTTATTCACAAATTAATAACTTAAAAAAAATTCTTTCTAAAATTAATAGTTTAAATGTTTTAGGAAGACATGGAAAAATAGTTTTAAATGTTTAAATTTATCATAAAAAATACATGCCTACTTAAAAAAAAAACTTATATATAACGTTTTTTAATAACTATAATTAATTTTATGGTTTTATTTAAAGCCTTCGCGTAAAATAAAAACTTTAGAAAAGATCAACAATTAAAAGATATTTATAACGTAACACTTTTTTTTATTGCATTCAAATTGTTAAAACATCATAATAGCCGTGGTCAAGTTGTAAAGAAAAAAAAATAATAGCGTGGTCAGTTACAGAGTGCGATTGCATGCCATTCCTGTCCAAGCCTGCATTGTGCACTTGAAGCAAAGATCATAATCAAATAATTTATTTCTGATAAAAAATATATATAATTTAATTATGAATAAAAAAAGCATTATAAAGTTAATAAGTTTAACTTACAAGTTAAATGGTATGGTAATTATTATTTGGTATCACTCCTTTGATCAGGCTTCTGTTTGAGTGACACCTTCCTTTTCAAATAATTATTTATATTTATTCTTATTAGTTATATTTTAATATAATTATATTATTTGTATTATTATAGATAAATTATTATTCTTTAATTATTGTTATAATTATTTGGTGTCACTCCTTTGATCAGGCTTCTGTTTGAGTGACACCTTTCTTTTCAAATAACTATTTATATTTATTCTTATTAGTTATATTTTATTATAATTATATTGTTTCTATTATTATAGATAATATTATTATCATTATTGTTATTATATGATTATATGTAAATTTTGAAAAAGGAAAATAAATATTTTGTTGTTGTTGTTTTAATAAGCTGTCAAATTTATTCAAAATAATTACTAAATATTGTTCAATATTCAAACTTTATTTAAATATTGAACAATTTTAAAATATTAAAAATAAGCTCTTTTTTATTGCAATTGTTTTTTATACCCTAAACATTTTTTTTACTCAAAATTAAATTTTAAATAAACGTGTTCAGTGGCTGCATCAAAAATTTGAACAACGCAAGTTAAAGCGCAGCGATTATTTTTTTAATAAATGATATATACAGCAATATAGTAATAATAAATGTTGTTAGGAAAAATAATCTTTGCTTTCACAACAAAATTGCTAATAAAATAATAAACTTTTAATAAATAAAGGAAATAAATAAACTTAATTTTTTTATTTGTTACTCTCTTTTTTTAATATTATTTTAAATAAAAAAAATCATTTTTAGTTGCAAAGCCTCAATTAGAAATTTAAGAAATAATAATTTTAAAAAATTTAACATATTAATTCTTTTTAACATATCGTCACATTAGAATTATAAGGTTCTATATGCCTTTTTTTATGTTGTGAGAACATAACTTTCAATATTTATTTAAAACATGTTTTACAGCTGTTATTCATTATAATTATAAATTATAAGTTGTTTATGTTATCTGTTAAAAATGTAAATATAATATATCATTTTTTAAGTGGTTTGTTTTTACTATTAATTATAAATTAAAACTTTGATTGTTAAATTCTTTCAATATAAAACAAGGCAGATAGAACCTTATAATTCTCAAGCAGCAATATGTCAAGAAAAGAAAGAAATTTGATTATATCAATTATTTTTAAAAATGTAATATTAAGTTTAATTATTTAATATATAGAAGAAAATAAACATTTCCTAATAGTAATAATAAAAAATGAGTTAAATAATATTTAACTTGTTTTGCGGAAATTAATATTATTCCAGTAGTTTAAAAAAAAAAATGTCTTTTTAAAAAATTTTATGACGCTAATTTCACATTAAACAATTGCATTAATTTTAAACAAGGCCGGCTATATATAATTTATTTATTTTGAATTTTATGCATAAATCTAAAAATTATAAATAAACAGAATTATTAATGACAGAAACAAAAAATAATTAGTTGTTAAAATACCAAGCAGGGCAAACTTGTATTATCCCTTATATATTGAAGTGCTGATGTTGGTGAAGAATAAATATCATATGTACTTGACATGCCTTTTGCAGAAAAGCCATTTATTTCAACTTCACCATGTAGAACATTGATACGAGCATAACCATTAAACGAAATTTTCTAAAGAAAAACTAATCTTTTTCAAAACATTTAAAAAAAGCCTTTAAGAAGAGTTTGACTAACTGTATAATAACACTTATTAAATTGCCAGGGTCCACATATAACTGTGGCTGGACCTAGGTTAAATATCAGCCATGGCAGGGATAAAAAGTACATATTGACATGTAAATTCCAAACTGAATACAGAGAATTAAACCTTAGTCTTACAAGACAAGAGCAAAGAAAGGGTACTCCAATAGCCCATAATTTTTTAAAGCAAAATTAATTGAGAATTTTTCTTTATAAACAAATAGCCCGCAGTTTTTTAAAGCAAAAAATTTTTTTATAAACAAATTATTGACAATAGTTATTTAAAGACCTGCACCCTTCAAAAGATTTGATTGGCTTGCTTTCTTCAGCTAATCAAAAAGGTATTTGAGGTGCAGGTCAATCACTTAAGTTTTTACTGTAGATTGAAAACAGAAAATAGGCTTTTGATTAAATAAAAAATGTAGCCAAAGCATTCTACAAACAAATATATACATATTTCTGCTTTAAATTATTTTGAGATGTTATTCAGATGAAAATATTGTTATAACAAATCTTAACCAGCGAGATAAGAATTTTGAAAATTAATTATATTAGGTTTCCAAAAGATGTAACAAGCAGAATATGTGTTTAACTATTTTCATTTGATTAAAAAAATTACAAATGCATACCTGAATAAAATATATTCATATCATACAGTATAATTGAATTGGGTCATGCTAAATGGGAATAAGTCACAAAAATTAAAAAACAAGTTAATAATGGTTTTGATGTTTTAAGAACAGGTTTTAATTATTTATGATAAAATTAGACATGTAAGATGCTTGGTTACTACAATAACTGCAATCGATTGTAGAGCTGTTCATGCTAGAAGGAGTTGTCACTGACTCATCCCCTTATAGCATAAAAATTTCTCTTATGCCGTTTATCATCGTATAAATATAATTTATTGTATATATAATGTACCTACATCACCCTCTATATTATATTGTATATATAATGTACATACACAACCCTCGGAATAAGGAAAAATGAGGTCAGCAATAATTTGCAGATCTCAATCTTTTCAACGTCGGCATCAGGTCGGCAAAAATTATTTGATACAAAGGTCTGACTATAAAACATAGAAACAAGATCGGCAATTTTTTGCCAACCTCAAACACTTTTAGGTTGGCAGTTAGCATTGCCGAATGCCAACCCTAATTTCAAGGGTTGCAACACTATATTAAATCCTATTGAAATTATGATAAAACAGCGGTTAATAAATGCGCATTTGACCACAAGTCAAACTAGAATTAAATAGTTTTATATTTTGTCAAAAATAGTAGTTTGAATTTATAAATTAAATTTTATTTATAAAAAAATACTTTTATTGTAACATCTCATCAGATCGAAAGTTTTCATGAACTGACCGATATAAATATAGTTAGAAAAAAAAAATTATCCTCACCAGGCTTGGTCGGGAAGCGGGTGCAATCGCACTCAATATTTGACCATAGAAATTATATTTAGTTGCGGAAAGCCGCCCAGATTTTTTAGGCGTTTTGAGAACATTTCAAAAACAGGCAAAAAAGCGCAATAAGATAAACTGGACCGATGAGAGACAGTTAAAAAAAGGAAAAATAGCTTTTAACCCGAAAAAACTTTAAGCAAAATAAATACGATTAGAGCAAATATTTTTGAGACGTCGCTTTTTTATAATTTTTTTTTTTAAAAAAAAAATGACATTTTTTGTATATAGTAACAACGTACTAATAATGAATGTTTAATAAAGAAACAAATGTTCTTCAATTTATCAAAGATTATATATAATTTTTATTTATATACTTATGTCTTATTTCCAGTGCTGGAAATAAGAGGTGGGGGGGGGGTAGAAGAGCTATAGTCCCGGGACACACAATGTTATGGGCCGAGCAATAGTCAAGAGAACCTATCGGTATTTTTAAGTCATTTTTACACTGTCGCACATAAAAAAGGCCACCAAAATAATGCAGTTCCCTGCCCTGTAAAGTCCAACAAGATTAAACCAATAAAACTAACACTACATAATTTAATTATAAATAAAAAAAGTTTTTTCAGTACCTGTTTTATGCTTCGCGTAGTTTGAAAAGTTTAACGTATTTGAAACAATTCTTTTTAGTAAGATGAACAAATGAAATAACTAAATCATTGAGTTACTGTGGAAATTTAATTAGCTAGATAGAAATTAACTAAAAACGTTAAATTACTTTGTAAAGGGAAGCGGAACTGCTTAACAATATCGCTGATGTTTAGTGAGTGGGCTTTATATCCTTAACTAGTATTTTACAGAAAAAAGTAACTTTAAGTGTAAGTATAACGAGTTTGTAAGAATGGCTGAAGCAAAAATAATTGAAGTTAATAAACCAATTTCTAATACATTACATACATATAAATACATCCCTTATATATAAAAAATAAGATTATACTAATTAAATCTATAATATATTTACAAAACGTTGACAAGTTAAAAAAATATAAATTTAAAACATTTATTTTTGTAAACAAATGTTAGTTTAAAACATATATAGCTTTGTAGATGTGACTCCAAGAATGAGCCATTGTATTAAAATAATTGTTCATTTGATAGTATATTCTAAAAACAATTCATCAACGAAATCTCAACGAAAACATAACAAAACTCAAATTATACGATTTTGAAAAATAATTTAACAGAATATTGAAGAACATTCGCTTGAATTCTTTAGTAATTTCAGTTATTTATTAATTGAACCAATAGAATTAGTTGTTCGTAAATTTGGCGGGTTTTTTGTGTTCGCGTATATTCTTTATTTATTTTTCCGCACTAAGATGTTTGACAACATTCAAGTTTATATAAACTTCCATGTACGTCCGTAAAACAAAATATTTTAAAATTTACGATAAAATAATAAATTTATTATTTTGCGGACAAACAAGGAAACATACATAAACTTAAATGTTCTCAAAACGCCTGAAAAATCTGGCCGGCTTTTCGCAAGTAAATATAATTTCCGTGGTCAATTATCGAGTGCGATTGCACCCGCTTCCCGACCAAGCCTGCCTCACCATTTTTTTTTAATTTAAATATGCCTTTTTTATGTTTAATTCTATATCTTGAATTCTTAGTCTTATGCTATTGTATTTTACTTTGTAGCTTAACTTAATTAGAACCTACTTTATAAACAAACTTTATGTTTTGTGTTTTTACTCTTATCATAAATAAGTGAAACAAGGAAATAAATTTAAAAGAAAGTAATGAGTTTCTTAGGAAAATGTCAACAAAAAAAAAGAAAGCTGATCAAAGACTTTGGAAGAGAAACATTATAGAAGTTGCAATAATAAAAGGTGAAGAATTGTTGACTACCAAGGAAATACTGTACCTCAAAATTACACTGGTTTACCCTGCAGGTAATTTTTTTTGTATTCAGTATTACTAATAGTTTTTTTATTTTCATTTTCACAGATAATATTTTTAATAATACGCAGGTAAAAGTATTTTTTGTTTCTTTTAGCTGCAAGAGAAACAACTGTCTTGAGAAAATTAATGAAGAGGACCAAATTAAAAATAACAAATATAATAAACCATTTCTATACCTTCATCACTGAAGATGAGCAGGAATTGTTCCTTGACTGATTCCCAAGAAATAAAACAAAGACGACCCAGAAAAGAAAAGGATTTTTTTAAAAAAAAATTTTTTTACAAATATTTATAAGTATCACATAGTGGGTTCTAATTAGGGCTGTACCGGATTTAATTTTTTCAAATCCGGCCGGAGCCGGATTTGCCGGATTTCTACTGACAGATCCGGCCGGAATCGGAGCCGGATTTCAAAACAAAACTACAGGAGCCAAAATCCTGTACATCCCTACTTGGTGTTGAGCATGGTCAACAATGTGGACTATTCAGAATAACAAGTGACTGCTGTTTTCTGTTAAACTTCATTGTTGTTATTTAAAAAGTTTTATAGCAATTTCTATATATAAATTAATAGAAATTCTAAAGAAATTCTATAGGCCATATGTTTAAAAGTTTATAGTAATTCTATTGAACTTTTTTCCCGGGATTTTGTCACTCCGCCACTGTAGTGGATCATTGTGTCTATTTATTTCTGGTTCTTAGCTGAGTTTCAATGCCTTTTAGTAATTGTTGTTTATGTGCCCTGCCACCAGCGGACATAGACTGAATAATTTTATCAATAAATTGCCAGAGTAATGATGATGATAATGTAGAAAAATTATTAAGCCCGGCTTATTTTGGTGGATTTTCTTAAGTTTTGTCAATCTTCTGTTCAGCATGCTCAGATTGACTTCAATCTTGTTTTTTCAGCTGTCAGTGTTGCCTATAATGAGGAGAATTTAGTTTTAAATTGTAAGCCAACCAGCTTCGTCAGTATATAAAGAGGTTTCTCTTTGCAATGCTTTTAAAACGCTCATCCAATCACTTGATTAGGGTTGACATCATAGTCTTTATACCTGCATCATTGTAGAATATCGTGTGTCTTCCCTTCAGAATTTTTTGTTGCGTTGTTGTTTGAAATTAAACTAAGCTTATTAAATTATAAAGAAATATAAATACAAATACCAAAACAAATATGAGGATAAAATTCATAAAATATAGAATTACAAAAAAAATTGATTTTTATAAATAAAATATTAGGTATACATGTAAACACGGGCAAAAAAAATGTAATAAATATTTGACAAAATTTAAAACTCCGGCTAAAATTATGCCAGATTTGCTAAATTTTTGCCGGAGCCGGATTTGGGCCGGATTTGTAAAAATGGCCGGATTTTGGCCGGAGCAGGAGCCGGAGCCGAAATCCGGTACAGCCCTAGTTCTAATTGTATGTATAGTTTACATGCTGTTAAAAAAAAAAAAAAAAAAGCATCGTTTGAAGAAATCAAACTTTTTATCAGACATTACATTGAAAGCTTTCCAACTATGGAAAACCATTATCTAAGAAAACATATATGCTATCTAGATGCAACTTTAAGTTTTAAAAGTATGGCTATTTAGAGAAAAATACTTTTTAAGAAAAGTTTTTCAATTACTTTAATGAAAACTATATACTTTCCTTTAAAAGGCCCTAACCCTAACCCTGACTTATGCAGGCATTAAGGAGGCATGAACTTCCTGGTTAAATGCACTTCCGCTCTGCTCTGTGACAAGACCAATAGGTCTTCTTGGAGCACCTAAATAAATAAAAAAAAGGCCGCAAGTCGAAATATGCTGCACTTGTGAAGAACTCGTCTCAATGAGGCAGCAAAGAGATTTGCTCAATCTGAACTTGATGTACATAAATGCAAGTTAAATAAGTTTTATGATCGAATCCAAAAAGACATCAATGACAAGGACAATAGTAATTTTAACATTGTGTTTTGAGTTGCAGAACATAAAAATCCCAAAATTACTAGTGCAAAAATTTTTTTGTGTTTATAACAATAAAAGTAACAGAGCACACATTTTTTTTTACCACAAAGGCTCAGCATGCAAAGGCCCAGATGTAGTGTGTTACCTTCTAACTATTTTATGAAGGTAGAGAAGCAGTTTACCAAACTCTAGGTATTCTTAAATAATTGTTGGGGCTAAAATAAAAACCATTCATTATCTTGACTACTCTTAGCCATGACTGATTTAAAGAAATATAAAAAGATTTAGTAATTTTACTCAATAAGTGGGCACTACTTTCTATTGTAAGATAGGGGTTTTAGCATAATAAGTAAAGAACATTATTTTTTAAACACATTAATCTATCTTATTTTATTACATTATTTTTTAAACACATTAATCTGTTCAAATTATACTAAAAAGGGATAAGTCAAGTAACTTTAATGATTTTTTTTCATATGAAAGATTTATAAATGCCATTAAACAAGTGTGTTTCATGATTACTGTGGTAATAAAGAATTTATACACAAAAAATTACATCTTTTTGAACAAAAATAAAGATAATGCAAAGTTTTATTTAGTTTTCTCAAAACTATATGTTGTTGACTAATCTCTGTTTAGCATGAGTCGATTCAATTAATTTTAGCATAATTTAAACTCTATGATCACTTTATATTTGAATAATAACAAGATAATAACTAATATTTAGTTATCAATGCTAATTAATAACTAAAATGTTAATTTTTGCATATCTTTATTGCTTTTTTTTATTTTTAATTAGAAATACATGGAAAATGTTTATTTAATGCTTGTTTTATTTCTATAATTGTCTATAAATCAAAATAGTTTAAATGCATGACCTAATTTACCTATAGACTAACTAGGCTGCAGCTAAGGCCCCACAATTTAAGGAGCCTCAAAGTTGATTCAAAAAAATGTTAGCTAAGAGTTATTAAAAAATATTACATTCTTGGTTGTAATGATTATATCACAATCAAAAAAGGTTATAAGACAATTTTCTCTGAAAAATTATTACATTTTGTAATAGTTTGTAAAATTATTACATTTTGTAATAATTATTACATTTTGTAATAATTATCTCAATTAATAATTACATTTTGTAAAATTCTATTTGCAAAATCATTAAGGATTGCAATCCCTTGGAGATTCATTTTACACAAAGAAATTCTAGAACAAATCTATATAAAACCACACGCTAAACTAAAAAATTAAAGATACAAAAGCAAACAAGAAAAAACTTAATGCTAATATACTAGCATTAAGTTGTTAATATTTTTTTATTTAAAATATTTTCGAGAGGCCGTAAAACTTGATTTAGCCTAGGGCCCCTAAAAGTATAAAGGAAAAGGAAATTAAAATGTTACTTATATAACATTAGATATAAAAAACTTTTTGATTCAAATTAAAAGTCATAATAAAAAGTAAAAAAAAAAAAAGTAAAAAAAAATTATATCAGTTTGATTTCATAAGTTAGATTGATAGAAAAACCAAAAAATCACAAAAAATATTGAATTTTTGTGATTTTTTGTTGGTTGGCTGAAATTTTACAAGAACTTATAATTGTAAACAACTAACTCCTAGGTTACTAAAATTGAAGACTGAGTGGATCTAATATAATTGGATCACAATTTATATAAATCAACAAAAACTATATTGCTCAAATATTTTAGGCAGTGGTGCTTTGTAAATTGTACTTTTTTATAGTGGTTTAAGCAATAGCGTCGTCAAAAGTAAGAAATAAATAGTGTCATCACCATATTCTTACTTGTCATTCCCTTCTCTATCTTTTATTCATACTAAATCTTTTTACTATTACCTACTAAATCTCTAATTTATCTCTGTATTTGTCATATTTGGGTAAATCGGGGGGAAAAAATCGATGCTTGAGTGGAGGAAATAAATCTTTAGGGACATGTTACATCCAAGTTGACAGTCTCCTCTGTTTAGCCAGCGCTTTCGCGCTTATGTCTTTTCACGCTCGCCAACACGCCTGCTAATACTTTGGCAAGTGCATAAAAAAGTGCTAGCCAAAAAAAAAGTAAAAGCGTTTTATTTTAAATTTTAGCAAAACTTTTTTGTTCATTTGTTTAACTTTTTATTATACTTTTAATTCCCAAATTTCCTTTTTTTCCCGTTCAAAACTTCGTCAAATGCAGAATCCTTCATAAGTTAACATATTTGTAGCTTAACAAAAATACCCTATTTAAATTTTTCATCATTTATCTTTGGAAATTTGTTTCTTAAATACTTAAAAGCCTATCCTTCTTTGTTCATACCTTGGACAAAAATTTTCATCAAACCTAACTTAATATGTAATGGTGGAAGAAGAACATCTTTTGAATCCACGAGTGGGTCAGCAATAACATTTTTTTCATCTGTATTGAAATTTCTTGCAGGCCAGTCTTCTTTTATATGTGAATAATTGAGTTGAGGAGAACTTTTATGTTTATATAAGTCTCTTTCATGTGAACTGCATGGCCAATAGGAATAGAAGGAAGACTGTTTCCATTGTGCAGTAATACAGCTTTTAAGCTTAGCTAAGATTAGTTTATGAATAATCTCCATTCAGTTAGATCATAGTTCAAACTAAGACAATACATTAATCCAAAGAAATCAACGCCAACAACATAATTATTTTTCTTCTCAAAAAAAAGAAGATTTTGCTACCATTTTCTGTGAAGCCTTGACATCAAATTGGGGGGGGGGGATTCCATTGCTTTAGTCTTTACCCTAGAAGTTCTACCTTTTCCTTTGACAAGTCCAAATCTTCAACAAGATCACTTAATTCTGCTTAACTCAATCTGTGTGGCACATCATCTGTTAACACAAAATCAGGATTATTAGATGTAGAAGACTTGTTTTCTTCTTTTTATTATATTTCTATTTCATTTCTGCTTCTAACTCACAACTTTGTGGTGGAGTAGGAACTGGAAAACTATTCGTATGTGGAATATGTCAAATGCCAGATGAAAGATCCAGATATTTAACTGTTCTTATTTTCTTTATTGACAAACCTGCCTTAATGGGTAGGGTCAAGCAGAAATAGCAGTTATCAGTATGGTTTTTAGGCTCCCTCCATACCATAGGAACAGTAAAAGCCAAAGATTTTTTTTTAATTTTTCAACCATTCTTGTAGTGTAACCAAACAAGAGCTACAACATATATGTGGAGCCCATGACTTGTACTGGTCCCCTACCTTCATATTGAAGTAATACAGGTAAACAGTCTATACAAGAGGTGTCATGGTTCTTTTCAGGAAAATGTTATTTCACCACAAATGTAGCAAAAATTGTCCACTAAATTTACACACTTCAATGGCATGTTGATTTGTCAAATATTACACTAGTAAATGAAAAAAATAATAATAAGAACAGATTAGACCAGAACTTTGGCAAACGCACATAACTAAAATAAAACATGAGTAGTCAAAAATTAAATTTTTTCTTTTCCAAAATATAAAAAATTTATATACTTAAGAGAAAATTTTTGCTTTTATTATTTAAACTAGAGCTAATATGTCATTTTTAATGTCATTTTTGAATTCAGCAGGTGGAAATACATAAGAAATAACTAATTTTGGTTCCGATACAAAATCACTGATGGGCAGTGTAATTATAAAATTAAACTCATAAAAAACGTGAAAAATATGAGCTTGTCTTTAGAACTGTGGTTTTCTGTTCATAAAACATTTCTTTTAATGACGCAATTTTTTATATGATAGTTTAAACAGTAAAGTTGAGGTTTCCTTAATCAAATTTTCTTTCCTTAAAAATTACAGGCAGGTTCTGAAAATTTCAAATGAAAAGCTCAATAGTTTTATTTATCTAGTTTTTCATTCATCTTTATTATTTTAGTTTTTACTTATTTAGTTTTTTTTTTCCATGAATATTGTTTTTTGGAATTGTCCCCTGCCTTCATGTTTTCCTGATGCAATTTACAATTTTTTAAGTCTTCTTAAGTCTTTTTAAGTTTTTTGCTGACTTACAACTTAAATAATAGTTGCTTTTAGCCTTGTTAGGAATGAATTTGTTTAAAAAAATAATAATGACTAAATAACATAAGTAATAATTAAATAAAAAAACTTAAACTCATTAATTGATATGGCTATTATATTTATCAAACACAATATACCCATACACATATGTTAAAACCACTCTTAAATTTAGAATAATATTAATATGAACAAACTACAAATTTAAAAGATAAAAGGGGAGAAGGACTGACAATGCCTCATTTTTTCTAAAACCACCTGCTTTAAATTTCTAGATCCACCAATGAATTATTGCTATGTTCGTAACAATTAATAAATAAAAAGCATTGCAATGAGCTAAACTTGATAACTCATAATTGCCCACAAAACGAAATCTATAACAAATATGGCCCTAAGGAGATAATTATAAAAAAACAGCTAAATTATAAAAATGAACGAATACCTGATTTTTTTTAAAAAATAATATTCCATGAATATTTTCTTCTTCAATTGGAAAATAGCTATTAAAAATAATAAAATATAATTAAAGTTATAAACTAAAATAAAAATAGTAAAAGTAAAAAAAGTATTTTATTTTAAAAGATACATAAATTATCTGTTACTTTTAAAACATACATTTACATAATAAATGCAATACATATATATATATATATATATATATATATATATATATATATATATATATATATATATATATATATATATATATATATATATATATATATATATATATATATATATATATATATATATATATATATATATATATATATATATATATATATATATATATATATATATATATATATATATATATATATATATACTAAGGCGATTCTACAGATAAAATGAGGGGGCGCGAATTCTCAAAACGTACAGACTAGCTGCAAAAAAAAAAAAAAAAGGTCCTCAAAACAAAGATTTAACCGACTAGCCGACTAAATTTGTAATAAAAACAAGTTGAAACTTAAAAATTGCTATCTAGGGGGGGGGGAGAGCACCCCTGTAAAATTGCCTCTGTATATATATATATATATATATATATATATATATATATATATATATATATATATATATATATATATATATATATATATATATATATATATATATATATATATATATATATATATATATATATATATATATATATATATATATATATATATATATATATATATATAATATGTGTGTGTGTGTACTCATTATTAAATTTAACCTTAAACCTTCTTTTTTTTCTTTTGATTTTTTTTCAATAACTTGTTCACAACTGTCAGAAACACGGGGTAATAAATAACTGGCTATTAGTTTACTTTCAGCTTCTGTTAATGGTGTTGACATTGGTTTAACTTTGTATTTAAAATGTTTTTTAACTTGCACAACACATTTGTTTAAATTATTGTTATGTAATTTAGTAAGAGATTTAACAAATGGAAAATAAAGTTTGCCACCAGATCTTCTTTTCATCAAGTTTTTTGATATCAATTTATTTTTTGGCCATTTTGAAGAAAGAAACCTTTTTTTTGTCATTTTTTACAGTATGTATATTCTTTTAAAACCTTATAAGATAAAAAAATGCAATAAATTATTTAAACATTAAATAAAAATTTATTTATTTTATTACACCTATGCTAAATAGTTAACAGGTGCATAGATGAAAGGTTTCAAGATAAACTTCATTAAATTCAAGTAAAACTATACTAAACTTGTTTCTCTATTAAAGTTTATTTTGAGGATTAATAAAGAAAAAAGAATTAAAAATCAACCCTCTAATTTTGGAGGAGGTAATTAACACAACTAAACAAAGCCTATATCTCATAGCTTCTATAGAAAAGAATTATTATCTGTAAGTTTTGAACTTGCATTATTTTGATTTATACTTTTGCTAGTTGCATTAATTACCTTTCTAGGAATAGAGAAATTGTTTTTGTTTGTTGTTTTTTTTTTCACGTTTTTTTTTTTGGTGACTCATAGAAGTCCTACCTCAAAACTTTAATAGACTTTGTGGTAGAACTATCAACAACTAAGCGAAAGCCAAATGGTTAAACTTATATAAAAAAAAGAATTGGTTAAGAATCAGATTGCATTTTCACATTATTATTCATAAAAAAGATATTTATCAAAATATTGCTATATATCTTCAGACCAACTAGAGAGACAAAATAACAAAATTAGCAATGTACAATTTTACTTCAGATGATGAAATTTTGTTAAAATTTGTGATAGTAGTACTTTTAATATTTTTTTCTTACAAATTTTAAACATAAATTTTTTAACAAATGATAAAATATATATATATATATATATATATATATATATATATATATATATATATATATATTATATTTTATTATTTAATTTAAATATAATAATGTAAAACAGTATAACCTCTATACATTTTACTACTATATTCCAAATAAAACAATTGTAGCAGATAGAGATTATCATTAATTATAATGCAAAATAAAAATATAAAAACCATAATACGAATAACAAAATAATATAATAGATAAAAAGAAAAAAAGGAGAGAAGTTAATGACTTGAAATACAAATATCATTATTTGTATTTATAAAACTAAAATAATTATTATATAATATATAATTTATTATTATTATAATAATAATTTAATTATAATATAATAATATATAACTTATATATAATAATTATATATAAGTTTAAAAAAGTTATTGTTGATTTTATTGATAAAAAAATTTTTAGTCTTTTTAAAAATTTTTAAATTCTGTATTTTGTTTTTTAAGTCTTTTTCTTTATTTTTTTATTTTTTTATTTTTTTTTTCATTTTTTGGTAGTTACCAGTGTTAATAACACTGGTAACATTATCATTACAATAAAAGTAATATAATATTGATATTATTGTAATGATGCTATTAATATTCAAGGTAAATTAAATTTGACTATTCTATTATCGCACCCAGGCGAGACAGCTATAATATGCCGTGAAAAAGATTAGCCTTGGCCATTTTTGCAGTCATATCAAAATTTTGATGCACACTGTTTCTTAAAAGTCTTTTTGGAGGATTTGAAATAATTTTTTTTTTTTTTTTTTAAGGTTGTCAACTTTAACGGCCGCCTATGGTTTTAAAGTTTAGAATTTCCTTAGTTTAAGGCGTTTTCGTATGTTCAGCAGGAATAGTAAACTAGGTCTAAATTTATCCATTCAACTGCAAGATGATCTGTTAAGACCTCATAAATCATCAATTAATTCTAACAAAGGATTAACGCTTATATAAACCTCTTTTTTGGAATTTAAGTGTCCTATAATCTATCAAATCTAACATTAATTAGTGGCGTGCATTGCAACAACGGCTTATGTGCGTGCTTAAAAGCACAACCTTGAGCCATTTGGGAATTGTACCTTTGATATTTTATATATTAATTGCGGTTGTGAAGTTATGTAATTTTTTTAAATAACTACTTTTAAAGTGATAGTCAGTGCCGCCAAGATAAGGAGGGGGAGGATTGCGAGGGACAGTTTGTCCCGAGCAGCAGATATTCAAGGGGAGCCAAATGAAATGTAGGTACCTGAAAAAATAAAAAAAAAAAAAGGTCTTTAATATATAATATAGGAAATTGATAAATTTCGCCAATCAATATTGGTGTCCCAGGCGGCGTGACAGCTCTCGGCGGCCCTGGTGATAGTTGTATAGCTATGAGAACTAGAAAAAGAGAGAGGTTTCTTAGTCCTCAGCAAAAAACACAAGTTAAAAAATAAAAAATTGCTGCAAGAGAAAAAGATTTCTGGTTGGAAACACCCTGGAGTGGATGGAGAGGAACCAGCTTCCTTTAAGAAAACACATCATCCAACATTATCTTCACCTCCATGATCTGTATCCAAGGAAACCAATTAAAGAGTTGGTGTTTTGCCCTCTTCAAAAAAAAAAATTAGGTTTGTTTTATCTTGTTTTGCATGTATGTCAATCTCACCATTTTTTGTCAAATGAATACAGAATATGAGTTATTAAATTATATCCACAAAAAGTTCCTCAAAAAATTACTCGAATGCATCTGTTCCCTTTTTAATGTAGTTGAACAATGATTATTATTTTAACAAATTTTTTCTAGATTATCTAGCGTTGAAGATGGTGCTAACTGTGAATTTGGATGTCTTCTTTCTGAAATCTTTGTTCCTTGGAGGAGAACAAGATTTCCAGTTTTGACTGTCCATTATCGACGCGACAGTGTTAATTAGTTTGTGGAACAAAACATTAACTTGAGTAAATCAGAGAAAAAAGTTTGGATATGGATTTTCTGAAAAGAAGCCTGGAATCTAGTAGGTTAAGGATGACCGAGGTCAATTTAGAGGATGAATCTTTTGTTCATGATCAGACAACATTCAGAAATGTTGTTTGGTAAAGTTGATGGAAGGTTTGAGTTTGTTGTACCGAGATTGAAAAGACAAAAGAAGCAGGAAAAACTAACTGCTTTAGTTAAGGTTAATTCTGACAGTGTTAGCATTGACTTTGCATCAGATACAACAGACAGTAAACATAGCTCTGATGACAAAAATTTTGAAATACCACAGGAAAAGACTTCAGAAAAAATTTTAATTATGTTAAGAATATTCCAAACCTGCCAGAAATGCCATTGGCAAGTTGGTGGTAAAAGAACCGTTGGGCCAAAAAACCAACTGTTTGCCTGAAGTTGGAGCAGATGAGGTTGCCACCCTTTCAAGATTTGATTACAATGGTATTTCTGGAGAATGGCTAGGGAGACAAGCCATACTTAGATGTTTGCAAAAGCTTGAAGAACAAAAATATTCTGAGAAATGATAAGGTAAATTTAATTTTTTTTTTGGTGATATTTAACAAATCAATATACCAACTTTTTTAAAGATTTAAAAAAATATAGGTTATACTATTTTCAGAATTCGGAGAAGAGAGGGGACTATTTTGAGATAGCAGAGTTGGTCATAATGAATCTAGATCGGGGATGTGAGCCTGCTCTGTACAAGTTTCACAAATCTGAAGCCATATCCAATGCTAGGTTTATGGGGAAAGCCATTTTCCTGAAGTTTCAGCTTCTTCTTTCCAAGATCCAACAGGTTATTGAAATCATTTTCTTATCAAAGAGACTAAGTAAACCAGGAAGTATAAAAGATGGCAGACTTTATTGCCATCTTTTACACTTCCTGGTTCCTTACTTGTGATTTCCAAATTCTGCTTCAATTTCATTGTGCAGTATGCAATATTTGTTTTACAAAAATAGTAATAGAAATAATGAAAGTGAAATAAAGAAATAAAGAAACTTTTTATTTATGTATTGTGCAAGCTTAATTTGACGTAAAATAATATTCGAATTAATTTTATTTAGGATCAGTTCAGCTATTGACAAATGCACCACTATGCTCAGACTAAACCTGCTGCTGAGTCAGTATTAAAATTGTGGAGAAACCACACGTATCTAGACCCTTCCTTGGAAGTAATGTTCTTGGCTTCCAAGGACAGTAATAACTTAGCGCAAATGGAGGAGATGGCCAAGGTTCTGTTTGTCACAGATAGAAAGCGACTCGGAAGAGATAGACTAAGGGCTGAGATGCCTCCAATGCATTTTTACTTTAAGAAACATCCCTCATTAACTAATTTCATCAAGAAGGAGAGTTGGACCCTGTTCGACATTCTAGACCTTACCATGGAGCAGTGTATTTGAATGGAACTACCCCATCAGTTTTTGTATAAGTTTCCCGAACACAACAAGTTCCAAGAGTTTGTGAACTCTATTAATGTTGTAAATGATTGCTCTGAGCGGGCTGTCAAGCTCATCCAACAGAATGTGGAGAAAGCCAAGAGTAAAAAAAAACTGCAGAATCTACTCCAGGTCAAGAATGCTTGGAAGACACCAGTTTGCAGAACCAAAGCGTCATACTTTCGCTAACTCTGTGCCCCTCAGGGACTACTAAAATAACGGGACGCGAAACTTCAAATCGATGCTAAAACGACGACAGGGCCGATTGTAAATGGCGATGCTAGTTTGATTTAGCAAAGAAGTTATGAAAAACTTACATTAATCTAATTATATTCACATTTTAGAATACATTAAAGTGATACAAATTTATATTACTAATATAATGTATATATTTTTTATCAGTATCGTACTGATAAAATATAGGTTAATGCAATAGAAATATTGGGAGATATTTACAACATTTAAAAAAAAAAAGCCTTTTTTTTTTTGAAAAAAGTTGCTATTTTTATTGAAAAATCAAAAGTTTTTTATTTTTTGAAAGTAGTAAGGTTAAAAAATTGTATTAAGTAGTTTTTAATTTGAGTAATTTATTTTAAGTAATGAATCTATTAAGTGTTACAAAATGTTATGTCATATTTAATAAATAATAATGGTGTTACTATTATTAGTTATAATCATGCCAAGAAAATGTTCAATAGTTAATTGTACCACAAATTATTTAACATCAACTTCAGAAGAAAAGCTTCATGTTTACATGTTTCCAAGTGACACAGAAGTTACAATATTGGTTGTCATCTATTCCAAATGCATTTAAAAAGTAACTTCAAATATGGGTGTGTGTGAAAAACACTGGCCACCAGGCTGCAAAATGTACAAGCCTCCTCGATCAAAGTTTGAGGTAAGCATCCTTAAAGTTGTTTTTATTGATAAGTTTTACAATGACTAATTTTAATAATATCTTTTTTAGGTTCCTGTTGATCCCCCATCTATTTTTCCTGGATGCACATCTTCAATGGTGCGCCAAACAGTCTCAACACAACCAAGATCTACAAATATAAATAAAATTTCTTTAACATCACGAAATGCAATACCTGATGAATTGGATGATTTTAATCAAATTGATTTAATTAGATTTTATGATGTTGAAATAATGTTGTCTGAAATAAAAGAACGGTAAAATTAATTATTTCTCCTCGTTTTATGATATTTGTTTGTTTTGATTTAAAGTTTACTTGATATTAAATCTATTTTAGATATCCTCATTACTTTGCATTCATTGAAAATTCAAAAGTCATATTGTTTGATGTTTCTCGATCATGTCTACCTGAAACAATATTTTCTGTTGAAATTAACTGTCATTCACGTCAAGTTAATATTTATTGTAGGCATACAAAAGTTAACTGCAATGACCTGCTCAGTTTTTCTCATTGTCTTACTCGGTGATCACAGCTTGAAGCTATTGTCAAAAGAGTTTGTACCTCTAGTCCTGAAATAAAAGATGAGGTATTAAGTTTGATTAGTCAAATTGAAAATACATACAGTGATACTTCTGAAGAAATTTCTTTCCTCATTGAACAACTACGCCTCACCACTTATTCTCTAAATGGACTGCGCTTTTCTACTTTCTCATTTCAAAATTAGGAAGAGTTGGAGTTGGAAATGAAAAAGAGTGCAATAATACAATCAAAGTTGTTTTTGAAAATTTTAATAGTTCTGAAAAGCGTTGCTGCCTTCTCTTTGATGAGATGTATATTAAACCAAGTGTTAGTTTCAGAGGAGGATACCTCATTGGATATAGTGAGGACAATCCCACTAAAATTGCAAAAACGTTATTAGTCTTTATGATTAAACCTATGTTTGGTAAACCTTCTTTTGTTTGTAGAATTGTACCAGTATTTAAACTGTCAGTGCATTTTCTTCACGATTTGATTATAAACATAAATAAACAAATAATTGATGCAGGAGGAGAATTACTGTGTCTTTTATCAGATAACCATCCCACAAATCGAAGTGTTTACCAAAATTTTGTTGTTAATAAAAGTTTTCCATGGCAAGGTGTTATAGAAAAAGAAAAACCAGTTATTATGCTACACGATCCAGTTCACTTGTTTAAAAGTATAAGAAATAATTGGTTTACGGAAAATTGGTTTACGCAAGTCAGTGTACCCTAGTTTGATTGATAGACAAAATGTTGCAAACATGATTGCTGTATTTAATGAAAAAACTGTTGCAGCATTGAGATTAGCTAATTTTGAGAACACTGCCTGTTTTTTAGCACCAATTGTATCATTATGGAACATGCTAAATGTAAAGAGGAAAGGTTGTGATGTTTTGTAAAGAGGAAAGGTTGTGATGTTTTACTTAATGATATCAATAGGTCTCCTTTCCAGACACTCGATGACCTTAGATTTAAAGAAATTTTAGCATTTGCTGATGCAACTTCTAAGATGTCAGAGGGAAAGGGATTAAAGCGTCATAATACTTTTACACCAGAAACAAAGCATGCTTTAGTTAACACCCTACAAGGATTAGTAGAATTAATAAAAAAAACTGCTTTCAGAAGATCACCAATATGCTCTTCCCGGTATTTTTCAAACAGATCGTCTTGAAGGTGAATTTGGCATCTACAGGTAAAATTATTTTTGTGTTACTTATAGTAAAGAAAATTTTGTAGATTTGAAATCTAAAAAACAAATATTTCTCTCATTTATTTATATGTATTATTTTTTAACATACATAAGTTTATTGATGTGTTTTATTTGACAATTGCTGTTTTAACTATAATTTAATACTCTGTTCAACTCAATTTATTTGGTTATATCCTTTTGCAATTTTTTTGCTTATTTGTAGACAACTAAGTGGCGGAATTTGTTTTATCTCAGCAGAACAAGTATTGAACAGTTTGCACCTTCAGCGGTTAAAATTATTTAGCAAAATAGTTTCTTTGGATGAAACTGACATTCATTGCTCACGCATACATTCAGACTGTTGCACAATGGATCTAATGGAAGAGGATATTATTTATTTAGATGAATGTTTAATTAATGCAGACAATGAATCTATTAATGATCAGGAGAATGCTGTCCTTTTTTATATGGCTGGTTATGTACAGCACAATATCGATCCGCAGCGTATAGTTGATACAACAACATCACAATCAGCTAGTTCTGAATTTACAGATTATGTTTCACGTGGTAAATTGCGTTATCCTGGTGATACTCTTCTCCAGTTTATTTGTGTTTGTTATCTACTGTTTAACAGCGTTCCAATGTCTGAAAAACGTTTTCAATGTGTTGTTTATTTAAAGAAATTATTTTTATTCTTGCATTCAACATTACCATTTGATTTAGAAACAGACAGTATAGGTATTTTAAAAGTTATCTCAATAATAACTAACTGTTTCTTAAAAGGTGTTACGACCCTTGATAATACATCTGATATTGTTTCATTAAACATTGAGGGCAGAAAAAGAAACTCAATACTTAGTGGTCTGATTATTTAGTTGACGTTGGTGATATAATTAATAACGTTTTGAAATGTATTTATGGCTTTATATTTATATGGTTTAAAATTTGTTTATAATAGACCTTTTCGTAATTGAGCGGCAATTATGAATCACGTGACCTAATGTTTTTCTCGGGAGGGCAAAATTATAAACAAACTTGGCAAAACGCTTTATCTTTTTATTGTTTGTTTAAATATCTAAAAATAGTTTATCTGGAAATATATCATTGAAAATTGTATTTTACCATGCCACTTGAAAAATACGAAGATTTTTTGAATTTATCTGTCAAAAAGCTTGTTAGTTTTTTAACTGTTCGTGGGCTAAGTACTACTGGACGCAAAGTCGAGCTTGTTGCTAGAGCATTTACTGCAATGGAATTAAATATAGATGTTATAGAGACAGCAGAAGAACAGGAAAAAAAACTTAAGCAATCTTATACGGACAAGCTAAAAGCTCTAGATCTAATTGACCCAAACTCTGTTCCAATGGAAAATAGAAAAGACTTAGTATCTGAGTGGCCTAGTATAACAATGGGAAATATTTTTTCATATATTCTTAATAAAAAATATTTTGATTCGGAATATATTGGCAAATATAAGGACCAAAAAGCATTTTCATTTTTCGATAGTGGTTTTGTAGGCCCAATAATGCACTTCAGGTTTAAAAAAGATGTTTTATTCGCATATTCTGAAGTGTGTGGTTCGCAAAAAATTCACAAAAAAAGAAAGCTTTGGATTGCCTTTTTTAATAATGATATTCTTTCTGCTTGGTGTTCGTGTATGGCTGGAGCTTTTGAAGTTTGCAATCATGTTATTGCCACCCTTTATAAAATGGAATATGCTAAACAAAGGTTGGTGTAATCCAACATGCACAGAACAAGCTTGTGTCTGGAATAAGTCTTCTAGAAAAGATATAAAACCATGCTTAATAACTGACCTAGTTGTTAGAAAAAAATTGCAAATAATGAAAAAAATGATAATAATAAGGAAAACACAAGGATGAAAGCATTGCAAGAATTCGATCCAAGAATCGAAAGTCATCGTGAATTTAATGAACATTCATTTGAAACTTTTTTAAACAACATTCATATATCCGAGCCTTCTGCTGTAATATTTAAATCAAAAATTAAAAAATCTGATGAAAATTTTGTAAGTAATCCTGATCTTGAAAAGCTATCATTTGAAATACTTTTAGACCATCCTAACGTTGATGAGTCAACATTAGGGAAAATATTATTAGAAAAAATGGTTTTAACACATGAAACAATTAATAACGTGGAATATAACACAAGAGATCAAGCTAAAAGCAATACCTGGTTTCAAATGAGAAAGGGGAGGATAACTGCATCCAAACATCACAGAATATATACCAAAGTTAATACTCTTTCTAGAAATACAAGTTCTACGAAGCCTAAAACAACTCCTCTTGTTGCTGAGATTTTATACCTTCACAAAAAAAACATTTGTTACTGCTTCTATCAAATGGGGAATTGATCATGAGCAAGATGCTATAAAAAATTTTTATGCAGAGCATGTATCAAATCACACTGATTTAAAAATTGAAAAAAGTGGTCTCTTTATTTTGTATGATAGACCTTACATTGCTTGCTCCCCAGATGGATTTATGGTATGCAAATGTCATGGTAGAATGTGTTTAGAAGTTGAATGTCCTTTTAAAATTTTTAATAAAACAATCAAAGAAGGAGCTAGTGAATGTAATTTCTTTACAATAAAAAATGATCAAATAACATTAAATAAGTGTCATAAATATTACACACAGATTAATTCCCAAATGGCAATTACAAATTGCAAGTCAGCATATTTTATTGTTTGGACGCTTAAGGACTTATATGTTGAAATAATCGAATTTGATCAAGAGCTCTGGGATACGGTGAAAACAAATTTAGATATTTTTTTCAAAACATATGTTTCTCCAGCATTATTACTAATAAAACCTATAACATTCTGTGGAAAATGCGATAAACTTATACTCGAAGATCCAGAAATCAATGTTAAAGAATCTAATGAATTTAGCAGTATTCAATGTGAAGTATGTTGCGCTTGGTTTCACTGTTCATGTCAAAATTTAAAAAAAGAAGACTATGAGTTAATAGCAGATCTAGACTGGGTTTGTTGCATGTGCTCAATGTCTAGTTTATGTTTAGCTTAAATCTTCAATGGATATTTTATTAAGAGTTGTAGATAAATATGGTGTTTTTTTATTTACATTTTTTTAAATTCTTTAAAAGATTTTCAAAAAAAAGTCTTTTTTTGGGGCTGGTTTGGTTTTAAAAAAAACTACTAATTTTTTACACATCTTTCAATTTTTTACACATCTTTATGCTCCACATAAATACGTACATTAGCAATGTTTGATGTTTCTCGAACTTCTTCTTTTGACATTTGAATTCCTTTAACAGCACTTGGAGGTATACAAAGAGTACACTGTTTATATGCAAGGTCTGTCCTTATTTTAAAGCCACGATCTGCCATAACTTGGTCATAGGGCTCAAGTATATCAAGAAAACCACTATTTCTGACAATAAAAATGTCAGAGGCACGTCCACCATAAAGGGGAGACAGCCATGAAATGGCTCCATTCGGAGTTATTGCTATTAAGAATTTGACTGTTGCATGATGTTTATAGTCACTCCACATACAAGCTTGAACATCAAGAGCACTTGATGTCTCAAAAAATATTTCAGAACAATCTATAATTGTTCTCACTTTTGGATATAATCGCTTAAAACAGTTTGGCATAGTTGCTCGAATTGTATTCCGGCTTGGCCACAAAATTAGGCTGTCCAACTCTTTAGATAACAATATTACCCATGTAATAATAATTTGGGAAACTGTTCCAGCTGATATACAAAAGCGGAAAGCTAAATCTTCAATTAAAAAACCCAAACGCAATCTCATCATAATTAAAAGAAATTCCTGTTCCAGTGAGATTTTTCTTTTAGGTCCGCTTTTTCTCATAGGAAATAAGTTATCGCAAATAGTATAATCTTCTGATAAGTGTAGCTGCTCGACAGATTCAACACTGGACATGGTTTTTCGTAATCGATTTGTTCTTTTATTTCCATCCCAGTATTTCATAACTGCTGCTTTGTGCTTGACATAATTGAAAACACTTTGAAACATTTTTGCATTTTGTAAACCTGTAAAAGTCGATACATCTGAGTCCCTAGTAATATGAGAAAACTGTAAAGCAATATATGTTGATAATAGAGTAGGCTCTATATTATTTTTAACACTGTAGCCTGTTTTATTCTTAGACAAAATTGGATTTACAGTGTCTTTTTCTTTGGGAGAGGCGGGTGGGTGTAATAATTCTTTGGGAGAGTCGGAGATGTTTAATAATTCTGCTGCAACTGCATCGCCACTAACATATGGAGTTATTTTGAACGATATTAAGCTTTCTTCGTCTGAAGAAACAATCATAAGATCTGACAACTCTTCAGCTGTAAGTGTATCCGAGTTAGAGTTAATAGATTCAATCATTTTTGAAGAAACAGGTTTTACAATAGATGTTGTTCTGATTTTTGGAGGAGGTCTTGATTGTTTTTTTTCCGGAGTACATTGAACATTCATGGTGTATGTCAAAAAGAGTGTTGGGTTAGGATTTTCATAAGCAGG